ATACATACATACATACATATGTACATACATATATTGAAGAACTGTACATAATTATTATCAAAAAAATTGATTAAGAGTCCGAAAATCAATTTATGAAGCAAATTGAAATTTCGAAAATCAAAAAAAAAAATTGATGTGAATAAATTTATCGAAGTCGAGAGTATTTTCGAAATTCTGAAACTCATTTCGGAAACTGTGGCTCAAACGCTGAAAAACGGTAGAAAGTTCAGAAGAAAAGTTTTTGAAAAAGAATAAAATTGCGCCGTACTTTTTATGCGGACAACCTACGTACGGTATGTGTAGAGTCTAAATCTATATCTATATGTATATACAGATATACATATGTATATATTTATTTCATGTGAATTGAAACATCTACGAATATAGGTGAAGGGGATAAATGCGAGCACAACGACGAAAACAACCGTCCATAATCATAAAAGAAGGTTTTTTATTTGTTTATTTTTTTTTTTTTTTGTGTTTTGTTGTTTTTTACTCTGTGATTTTATACTTCAGAATTTTTTATATTTGAGTTATTTTCCAATCTTCGCAATATGAGGTTTTGAATTTGTATGTATGCGCAAGTTCATATGAGTTGTTCGTATGAAATTCTTTTCTCTGCCGCTTTTCATTCTGTTCAATTTTCGAAATTAAAAAAATTCTGGGAACACGAACAGTATTGAAATTGCCGCTGAGACGTTCAGTTGGCAGTGGCGGCGGCGGCGGTTTATCCATTTGTGTTAGCTCTCGTTGATTCGTGTGTTGTTCGTTGAAAGTTTGTGCTGTGGTTGGTGCCTTTCAACCGGCATGGAACGGGGAAGTTTTTGAGGCTTTTGTGTGTGAGTTTTTAACATTTTTTCAAATGGATTTTTTGCTTTTCGTTTTAATTTAATTGAAAGCAAACATACTTTTTTCAATATCGTTGTCTCACTACGATTAACTTTAGAAACATCAAGCATAAATGAAGTGAAGACGACGATGTTTATTTTTTAATAAAATTGGTAAAAAAGTGATTTTATTTCACTCTTCCGCACTGACCGACCCCTGATGTCGGTTACTTAATATTTTTTTTAATTTGATTTGAAGAAAAAAATTGTGACGCATAAGTTATAAAATTTTCATACACATTTTTCGACACTTCGTTAGCCGCGGGTTTACGGGTTTTAAGCGCGCACCCATACGAGCTCGTGAGGCCCCGTCTTAAAAACAATTCGAAATACGTAAATGGCTTGTAGTTGGCAGCAATTAGTGAATAAGCCTATAGTCTATAGCTTAGTTTAGATATAAATTCAACAACTGAATTTAAAATTGTGCGCATTAAAATTATAAAATCTGTAGGCGTAAAGAGTAGCTATAAATGAAGGTGATAAAAATAATAAAAAGGCAAATGATAACTATCAGAACATTGTAATCTACCTTATTTTTCTTATAAGTCATTCATTATACTCGTACACAAACGTCATTAAGAAAACTATCTTACTTTTGCATTTACAGAGGTATATAAAGAATTCCTGTGTGCAAGATTGCAGTTTTCAAGGCGATGTGTTTTATCGATCATTTTTGAAATAATCGGCTATTCTAAACAATTGGTTCTACTATGCTATATGTGCCGATATAGCTTGATTCTCCAGATATCACAAGCCTTAAAATTGAATGATGTGTATAATTGTTACTAAACCCCGTATGTGTGACTAATAGGTGCGATTATAATATCTGAAGCGCCACATTTTGACAACGGATTACCATCAAATCGGCTATTCTAAGCAACTTTTTCCACTATACTATATGTCAAAACAATTTATTTCGAGATATTGACTTATGAAGCTACATTTTTACATATAAAAGTCCAAAAAAAACTAAACTCTTGATATAAATCAGTATATTTGGAACTAGGACGCAACTCACAGAGGCAGTTCTAATTAAAACGTAAATGGATGTTGTCAACTTTGAAAAGATAATGACCAAGAAGTCTCAACTTTTATAAAAATTTTGTTTATCGAACAGCGTTGCATTCAGAACAAAAAACAAAAATAAAATATTAATTCTTTACTGAACTATAAAGTTCTTTGTTTGATAATATTCAACTGTAGATTTAAAAGTATAAAATTATACAATATTATTTATTATACTGATATTGTATAATAATACTTAAAATTTAGTATTTACTGTATGTATATATAGATATTAACAAGTTTTTCATCTCAAAGCACGACTTATGTTGTTCTGATGTAGTCCCTTTTATGAAGGGTGACCGCGGCAAATAGTCGCCAAGTGCCTTGGTTTCTCCGTGGTTTATCGATAGATCATTTTCACATTTCGATAAATTTGTAAATATGATTGTTAGTGGTTACAAAATTGCATTTTTGATCAACTGTGGGAAAACGCTGCATACATCTTATTAATAATTTTTTTTCATATGCAAAAAGATTTTAAATTATCGACACGCCTATATGAGAATATTTACTATATAGGCTACCTAGCGTATCTATATGCGATAATCTTTCAGTACAAGTTCATAACATTTTTTCAATTATGCATATCCGAAGGGTTAACTCATTTCAGCATTTTCATAGCAATTAAAAAATTGTAAATTCTTAAGAAACTAACCTGCTATTTATTACTTATGTGTTATTCTAACAAAATTCATTGACATTACTGAAACTTAAGCCATGTATTCTTAATTCTGCTGAGCTTAGACAGTTTTTGCTCAAACCTACATGTTTAGCTCCTCTGCAAGCTATATATTAACAAAAAGTTACAACATTAACTTTAGTAGTACAAAGAAAATACTTTTTATATGTTTTGGATATCCCAACCATTCTTCAAAAAACAAATATCTTTATAAATTTGCAAAAAAATATTTTCACATCTCCAATATCTTGAACAGAAAATGAGAAATTTATTTACTAACTCTTTCCTAGCAAAGTAATATTACTGTTCATATCGTCATTTGATGTAACATTTATTTGAGCGACACTTTATTGTAAATATAACGCCAACTCGAGTGGTGGACTACTTTCGATTGTAGTAGACTTGTGGAAAACTACAGGAGTCTATGTTTTGCTACGGGTATAATTTCCATGATAATAATATAACCATGACAATATAGTAGCAGCTACTGCAATCTATTCCATTTGTTTCCACACAGCTAAAAAAATGAGATAAGTATCTGGATAACGTCGCTTCTTAGTTCCAATCTCATATAATATTTACGGCTTATTATGTCAGCACTTATGTTAGTTTATTGCTATATATCTAGGAAATATTATTTTTTTGACCAAAATATCTGAAGTTTCAATGTAATGTATATTGTATTAACATTCTTATCTGATATAACAAATCCCTGCTTTCAACTCCGATCATATACTGTTATCATTATTAATTTTATAATATTCTTTCGTGATATTTAAACATCATAATTATATGTCTTATATAACTGTATGACATTTTATAAATCAAAATCCTTTGGAGAAAAATATATTCTGTACATACAGAAATTATCAAGACAATTGATCACTATATATATTTTATTTTCGTATCTAAATATTTCTAACTACCATATTACATACATCTTGTATTTAACATTAAAAAGATCTGTTTTTCAAAATTAACTAAATCAAGGTTTGAAAAGTAATATATTACAACATCACAGCTGTTTCTATTAGTATGAAATATCTATCATTAGTTTACTTTAGAAATATTTCTTACATATAATTATTTGGAAAAAAAATCAGAAGTTAAACTCCGACAAATGACGCACCCGCCGTATTTGACTTGTTCTAACTTATAGTTTTGTCAATATTTTATTATTGGTTATCATCAAATTCACCTGCTATATTAGAACGAAAGCACAAATCACAGATATATTTTACTGAATTAAATGTTATAGTATTGTTGTCAGACATCAGTATCATTTTTTTTTTGTGGGAACAATATATTTATGCATATTTTTAATTTCTTTTATTGTGTATAGCTTCTTTCCTATAATAATTCTAAATGTGAGACTTTATTTCAGCTTCCAATCCCGTTTCAAAATCAGAATATCAGCAAATTTCTTTATTTCATGCTGTCTGCGTGCACTCTTTCGGATCCAGCAAAGCCTCTATTGAACTTTCTCTGGAACTTGTGTCTCTTATTAAAATTTTTACTTATTTCGATCACTAATCTTTTTATAATCTAATTTAATCTTTTCACTATTATTTTTTATAACCTATTTAAAAACAAAAAATTTTAATATGTTTAATAAATAATGTAATTACTATTTACAGTTCCGAAAAACACTCGTCTTCAAATGTTGATGTCAAATCAGCCATATAACAGTTCAAACTTCTATGTAAACTCAAACATCAATATGCAACATCACATTAATAATTTATTAAGCACTGCAGCTAATGGGCAGCGAGATGTCGACGCGTTACTATCACCAATAAAGAAGCCCCAATCTCGTGCTGACCTAAAACCAGAACGTAATCTCTGGAGAACTGATGAAATACTGCGTATGCTAATCATTATGCAAAACATTAATGCAGTCGAACTATTAAATCATAAAAATTTAAAAAGTGAAACTGTTTTTCGCAATATTGAACAACAGATGCACGAATGCGGATATCGCAAAAAATCATATTCACAAATCTGGACAAAATGGAAGTTCTTAAAATCTACCTACACAACTTCGAAACGTAATAATACCATACCAAAAATGATAGCTATGGAAATTTATGAACAACTGCATCAAATGTTGGATAATGTTTGCAATGAAAGCAGTAATTCGAACGCCTCGAACGATGGTGATAGTTCTAATGGTGCACATTTGACAGTATCAGGTTTGGAAAGTACATGCCCCGAGAATGATACAAATTGTAAAAAACCTAAAAGAAAGCTAGAAGAAAATTGTTCGGAAGAGGAAAATGGTCTAGATATGGCGCATCCAATATTCGGTTTTCGATTGGGTTTAGTTAAGTCCGAACCAGTAGATAATGGTAAGTCATATCTATATAGTAATGTTATAACTAATAATAAATTTTTTTATTTCAGGATATGAGACTAATACAAACAATTCAAGCACTGAAACCGATATGAATAACCAGAATAATACCGCAATGGATACAACGTCATTACCACCTAGTACAGATTTTTCAGTCAGCATAAAAAAAGAAATCGTTGAACCACAAAGTCCACCGCCATTAGTTATGTCCAATGCACCTCCTGAATTATATATCAACAAACAAATACAAATCACGCCAATACAAAAACTGATACTATCACCGAATACTGTGCGCCCGTTGACACCTAGTGAAATTAAAAAAAATGCACCATTGCCTCCACTACGCATTGCACCATTTGCAAAATCAACAAATGCAAACGCTTTAAGACCCAGAGAGCGTTCACCACCACCATTAACCATAAAGGCAATACCACAGCAAAAATTGAATAGTGGCATCAGTAAAAAAAATATACATAACTCTCTGCCACCGAGACTATTACAAAAACCAGTACATGTTAGTCCAACTCCTGTGCGTCTTACCAAAGCCAATGAATTGCAAGCAAACGCATTTCGTCTGAAACCACATATTAAAGACAGTGAGATACCTGACTTTGGCGCCACAACACCAACCATACCACAACAACAATTTTTTTCCATTTATCAAGATGAACCATCGACAAGCCAACAAGCTATGCTGAATGCTAAACAAACTAAAAGTCGGAAGAGACGCTTAGAAATACCTCCTCCACCAGCACCATGCAAAAAAATAATAATTACACCTGCGTCCTCAAAGAATACCGAGAACAAAAATATTGTTTATAATACAGCCCAAAGGATGAAACTCAAAGATTTATTCGAAGAAGAGAAACAGACATCCAGTGCACAAGAACAAAAAGACTTATTTGAGAATGAATTAATCGAACTGAACAACTCACTTCTGCAAGTACAACGAGAAGTCTTATCCGAATTCTTCAAACAGCAAATGGAGATAGCACGCAGTGAACACGAATTTCAACTTAAACAGGATCAAATGATTATGGAAACGTTTCAAGCACAGTCGAACTACCTAATGGAAGCCGCTAAAAAACTTATCGACGTAGACTTAAAAACATTTCTTCAAACGGGAAAATCCACAAAAAATAAAGTTGAAAATAATCAGCAGATTAATGGAGAGGTATATGAAAATAAGCCACAACGAAAAAAGAAAGAAAACCATTTGGAAGAGCAAAAAGAAATGCCACAATCCAAAATTTCGCAGGAGCTACAAGACGAGCAGCAATCTAACAAATTTATACGAGTGCGATTGCAGCAAGAACCACTTCCACCCAATGTGATGGTGGATGATACTGTAGATTATGAAGACAGTGATTATCTCAACGAAACCCAATGTCAAGAGAGTAACACTAATAATTGCACGGAAAAGAGTTCAGAAACAAATGAAAATAGTGATAGTGAGTACGAAGATGAAAGCACTGGCTCAAGTAATAGCGATTATAACGATGACGATGATAATGGAAATGATAGTGATGGTGAATATAATGAGAGCAATACGACTGAACCAATGTAATTGGTAAACAGTGCATATGTGAATGACATAGTTAAACGCAAAAGGCATATAAATATTTAAAAGAAAACGATAGTATTTACAGAGATCTAAGAGACGTATTCTACTTTGCATATTAGTAGTAAGAACATTCCAGTTTACCTATTTATACAGCTTTACCGCTTAAGTATTTATCATTCCTGCTCAATTACCTTGAGATGTCGGTACTGTTAATCTTTTTTGTTAATTGTTTCCTTAATTTTATACTACAAAAGAGACACTTTAAAGACTTGATAATAATTAAGAGTTCCATTTCTAGTATTTATGATTTATAATTAAAATATGTATATGATATATAGTAGTACTATTTATTTCTGTTTATTAAATTTACTTTACGAATAAAATTGTAAAAAGAAATAGAATAACTCTAAATTCAGATGTTTTTTTGTTACAAAAAAATTTTAAAAGATGGGTTTCGAAAAGTAGTGAGCTACGATAACAAAAATCTTTTTATATTATTTTAATTAATTGAATTTTTGACTGACCATACTGCTGTTTTGACTGATCATACTGATCAGTAATCTTAAAATTACAAACCACTTATAGGAGAATTATAGGAGGTGCATCTTATATTTAATTATTCGTAAATAATTTTTTTAGGATAGCAAGATCCAAGAATTTTTGTTGTTGCAAAATCTCTCTATCAAATACAATATTTTCTATTTAGTAAAATAGTCACTACCGTTATAACTGACGTTTAAATTACAATTTAAGAAAATTTTAAATTTTTTATCAATAAGTTAACAGGCTTAAGTGCTCATAAATAAAAAATACTATATATATATTTATATATATTACCATATAAATATTTATTTATTTAATTGGCAAACATTGTATACTTAACATCACATTATGTACTACAGGTAATATTTTCTTGTTTCTTTAGAACGCAGAATTTTATCCCTTGCATCTCAAAAGAGATCCAACTCTAACTAAATTTGTATAACTGAAAGCAACAGCGCACCGAGTTTCGTAGGTGACCGCCAATTATCAGTACAGAATATCAAGTACTATAATTGATATTCGCAAAACACATAAATATCTCCTGCACAGAGTTTGAACTGAAGCCCAAGGAAAAACAAGTTCCATAACTAATCTATAATAAATGTAACGATCTCCAGAAAGTTTTTGGATTGTTTTCAATTCAAAATTCAATCGTTCATATTTTTATTTAATAGTGCACTAGAACAGTATGTTTAAAAATTTTATTGCCGTTCCAAAGTAGCTAGTGCAAGTGCCTCTTATCTACTCTGTTTTTTCCCAGTTCGACTCAACACTTTTGGAGCCCATTTCTTTAGGATCTTGATCAATTACAAGACCTCCAAATAGACAGTATTCTAAGCTTCGCCAAAGGTTCTAGGTGGTTTTAAAACCTGAGTTTCCTCTGTATACGGTAACACAATGGGCCAATAGGCCTAAATGGATCCCCTAGAGATCGTCGATATAACCTAACCTAAAGCAGTCAATAGAATATACACACTTCTAAAAAGAATTTTGGAATTATATCTCCTCAAGAGAGTACATACTCGGTGATTGTTGCGAAGAACGTAAGTTTAGATATAATGGGAACTATTGGAATATTAATATTTCCTACTAATCTGTACTTATTGTCATCCCACTAACTCTATCCCGTCTTCATTTTTAATTCCAATAAAGACGAATTTTGTTCTATACAAATTTTCAAGATTCGGTGTTGTCTATGTAGGAAATTTGTTTCCTGTTTGGGGAAAGTGCATTCTATAAGTCGAATTTTTGTTTTAAGTATAAATGCATTTTGCTGTTAAGGGAAGTCCCTTTTTCCAAACCAAATGTTTAGTTTTATTTCTTATGTTGCTTCTTTGTGGAAATTGCAACCGCTGGCAGCGTGGTGTAAAGTAAATAAAATAACTTCCAATGCTACTCTTAACGATTATATTGATTATATCAAGCTTTCCTACAGATGACGATCTTATTGAGCACTATAGCTCTAAATTACTGGATCCAATTCTAAACGCAATGGAAAGTGATGATGAGGGTTCGGTGGATGTGATTATTCATCAGCCTTCCAAGAATGAAATAGACTACTCATTCATAATTCTGAATTTATATTTGCAAACGCAAGATACTATAAGGGTTTGAATAAAGTGGAATCTCTTTTTACTGAAAATAAGAAAAAATTAAAGTCCCAAACCTTAATTTCGGAATATTTTACTTCACTGTAACTTCTATGCTTTATTTGATTGCGATGTGATTCTAAAAAAATTTTCTAACTCGAAGTCTCCATAAGTCGAACCTTTTCTTTGCAAAATTGGACTTCGACTTATGGAAATTTGAGTGTATATTTAAAATGAGTACTACGCGAAATAATAAACAACTAACTAAAATTTATGGAAATATAATAAAAATAAGGCGATAGAGTTTATACATTTCCAATCGGTAAATATTATCTTAAAATTGAATGAAGCTATTAGTCTAGACCTTGGGCATTTCTCGAAATTTATCGATGTTAAAAATTAAACTCCAATCTTACAATCATTTTGTTAGGTTTTTATTTAGTTAACTTAATATTACATAAATATACTACAATACCTATTAAATTTTTTGTTTTTATAAATTTAGTTTTACTTTAGTAAATTTTTTAATTTTTTTTTTTTAAATTTTATTTTTATCTTATAGCGATTTACTGCAACATTACAGGTGCATATGCAAAAAAAAATATTTTTATATATAGATCAACAATTGTTTTTTCATTTAATTATTTACAAAATTTCAGGTTTTTAAAATATATATTTAAAATGTACATAAGTTTTTTTTTCATTAAACAAGAATCTTTGATACTTTTTGCAGTTTGCAATCAATTTTCAGTTGATAATTATATTATTTAAAATTGAATATTATTACATATAACATTGCATTTACAATTTTTTACAAGAATTTAAAAAATGGTATATATATATATATACTCAAGCAAATATCTTTCTTTTAATATGCAAATTTTTAAGTGATCAACCAATTATCTTTAAATATATGTAGTTTCTTTCAAAAAAAATTTTATATGCTATAAAAAAATATATTTCCACACACCACGCTACTGCTAGACTCCTAATATTTTAATAATTTATTTCTTTCACGACAAAAACAATTCCAGCCTTAATGTATTCATACTACCTACTACTGTATGCCGCAGCAGGTCCTCTAAATAAACAAATAAATCAATTCTTTCTCACTTCAGATATAAATTTTTTTCTTTTAACATACTTAAACTCATCATCATCAGATATCAGAAAGTATATATCATTTATGCAATATAAATACCGTGGAATTAAGCAGTGTTCTTGTGCCAACCTACATGCCTGGAGAGCTTCATTTACTATGTAAGCACTTATATAGTTGATATGTCTTTGATTATGAGCTCTCCAACAAAATTTCAAAACCTATATTCTTCAAACAAATTATTGAAAATTACTTTTGGAAGACTTAATATGAAAGTTTATTACATTGAATAAATACATTAAAAACATTTATTCCTCAATTTTAGTAATAGTTCTATAAAATTATAAGAACCAAGCAGGTACTTAAAAGTCTGAAAATATAATAAACTTAATAACAAATATTTTAACAATAAAATATTACGATTTCGAACTAAATTTATAATTAAATGAAATCAGTTTTAAACTACCTCATTCCGGACCACCTTGAATTCTTTGTGATCTTAGTTTATTGTAGAAAGCAAGATCCATCTCTTCTCTTATCGACACTACTTATACATACTCTACATATATGGTATTCTACATATGTATAAAGCAATTCAAAATTATTTTTCTTATTTTTCTTATTATTTTATGCATTTTTTATAAATGGTTATAAGCTCATCTTATAGTGTAAATTTAAAAAGTGTTAGTAATAGCCATTAAATCTAAAAAAACCTCCAAATTCTGTTGAATACATCTATGCAGCATTTACAAACTAAGCTTAGTCTGATTTAATAGTGAACATATACATATATTTTATGAGTTCCGTTTCAATCTATTATATATGGACTTATATCGTTTATCTTTTTAAACTACACAGCAAATATTTTCTTTGTGCTATTTTTTTTTTTATTTACAATGATTTCTGTATTTAAAACTATAAAAAACTTATACAATAAAAACCTATCGTAAGCAATATTGTATAGCAATATTATTTAAATAAAATAAGTTATAAGTTTTTTAAATTTTAATATGCTTTTTTTTGAAAACTGACTTCCAGATCGTTCTAAATTTATGAGGTTTTTCAAGTGCATATAATTAAACGAGAATTTTAGACCATGTGTCCAAAGCATCAGTTGATAATCCCAGTACATCTGAACCTAACCACAATCAAATTTAACAAAGACATTACATATTATTTTTGCACACCATATGTCTTAATTGAAGAAATTATGAAGAATAGTCAGTTGCTATTTTTAACAGCGATAAGAAAGAGTCTATCTATACCTTGATTCAGGTGGTAAATATTCAGTGCCCTTAGAGAAAATTCCTTTCTCCAACTAACAAGTTACATATAAAGTAAGTGTTAATATTCGCAGCAACAGGTGATCTTTAAACCTAACAAATTAAATGAATAAATCTTTGCCGAGCACAAAGATACGAATATATAAATTTCATTTTGTAAAGTCCATACAAAATTTTCAGGCTATATACGAAAAGTGTAAGATCAGCTGATAAGAAAAGAATTAGCTCCTTTCGAATGCTAGTCTAAAGGACAGATATGACTTAGTAAAGGAGTATTTCGATTCTAATATAGTTGAATAAATAGTGATCAGCAGTTTAATAATAACATATAAAGTTATTGATTTGTATATAAGAGTATAGAAAAACAATAATAAATATTAGCTTTTAACTTTACCACTATACCCTGCACACAAATGTATTAAAACTCAATTATTTACTATTAGCATCTTTAGCTAAATATTTAATTATGGTTCTAATTTTATAGCTTACATCCGAAAGTCAATGCGAACATATTATTAAAAATGCATATATATTTTAAGTATTTATTTGGAATTGTGTATCAAATGTTAAATTCAGAATTGTGTATCAAGCAGTGTTAAAATCAAACAGTGTTATTAATGTGTCGACATAATCTGTAAGAATTTACAAAAAGTTCCAACTCAATGTTAATATGATTAGCTGGAAAACAGAGAGAGACACTAGTTCGTACGTTAATAGGCAGACTTACGAACAGCGTTAAAACAATGCATCGCGTCTGGGTTTGCTGATCAACATTATGTTTTAAAATATTTCAGACACATTTTTCACTGTTTTTATAAACTTAAAATATCCTCTTTACCCTAGTCGAATAGAATAACAAAGTGTGTACATTTCTTGAAATAAATTTTCTAGGAGAATATCTTTTTAGGAAGTAGTATCATTTTTAAGGTAGCAATAAACATTGTTATGTTAAGCTCTATAGACATTAAGCGAATATTTTGCTAGTGAGTTGGGTACTGTGCTCTTTTTACAATGAAAAAACAATAAAACAATATTTAATAATTTTTACTCTAAGTAACGTTGTCAACTTGATGAGCACTACTAGTCTTTTTGACACAATAAAATTTACATTCAAAATAGCTTGTTATTATTGTTGTAGCCCGTGATCTATAGAGCAAGAAACATGAAGTGAATTTTAAGACATATATATAAATAGGATAGCTGTTAGAAAAGGTAGACAAAGATGATATATAGCGAAAGAAATATGAACGGAATTGTAAACAGCGTTAGTACAAGTAGGTGGAGAAGACAAAGAAGGGTAGTATGGGACAAGTATGGGATACTACTTGAAATATAAATGCATAAAATATCTAATTAATAATAAATAAATAATTAATTTAATTAATAAATAACAATTAATTAATAATGCTATACAATTGCTTTATATTTAAACTATCTACTCATATTTTTGCTGATATATTTAAATTATATTAAAACAAATCATATACATACATTTTAAATAAACTTTAACTAATGAAACACAAAAACATATACATTTCTATTTTAGTGTATACAATTATGAGAACCATATTTTTATAAATATTAACAAAAAGATTTTAGAGCGCATTTTTGCAAAATTTTGCAACATTTCAGTATTAACTTTACAATTACATTTTTGTAAATATTAAAACTAAACTATAATTATTATTATTAAAAATTTACAAATTAATTTAAATACTTTTTACATATATTAGTTTCTCATTTAATTCAAAAGCAATACTAAAAAATTACATTATCTAATAAACTATTAATTTGTTTAATAAAAACAATGCGCTGCTGATTTTCTTAAGCAAAAAATATGATTTACGTTTTGTTTTTATTGTATTTACTTCATTTCATTTTTCATTCTAATATTTTACATTAATACTATTTGAATATATATTTATAAGTTAGTTCATCACACATAATTTTTTCCAGAGAAAAAATATAATTTATAGATACTTTTTTTTATTTTAATTCTTTTTCTATGCTAACAAAGTTATTAATTTAAATTAATTACACCAAAGCTACGCACTGCGTTAGAGCTTGACATAATTTTCACTGCTCCATATTTTGCTCTAATCTGGACGATAAATCGGTGTTTTTGGTATAAATTCAATTAAGACAACATATTCCATCATTGAGTTGGAGTCACATTGTTGTTTATGCAGTCGCCAATGTAAACCGAGCTTATGGTAGAGGTGACTATTCTCCCATTCTAATAATTTGTCAAGAGTTATTTGAGTCTGAAAATAATTATATAATATTATTCCAACTTTATGTCCATTATAATCTATTCTTCAACTAGTTTTTTGGTATGGGTGAATTAAAAAAATAAGAAAATTAATATCGAAATATCATATATCAGAATATTGTTCGAAATAACATAGTTGTGACTTCAAGAGTAACCAAATCGATGTCGTAAAGTTACATGTATAAGATTACCAATCACAACTTATTTCCTATTTCTCCCAGGTGTATTTTAGTTTTTCTAAGAAAAATATTTCAAATATGTTGTCCTCTATGCCAATGAGGCATGGTGATCTACCTACAAGACCAACCAACTTGTTATAAGCAGTTTATAATGGTTACACTAGTAAGATCCAACAACATTCCACAATCCTGTGTTTATCATTAATAGCATATGATTGTCTGATGAAAACTATTCAACTCTAAACCAATCTACCAAAAAGCTAGTCTCCCTTGCAAATTCTATTTTATACTCACCCGTTTACTTAAGCAAATCACAGGCCAAAGTGAACAACCCAAGGTGCAGCAACAACAAACGCAACCACAAAACAACCATTTTACATTTACGGGTAAGGTTTTCTTCAAAATGCTATTGATACGTCCTAGAGTTGCCTTGAACTCTTCCGGCGCAACACGCGACATTAAACCAGATGGAAATTCTGTATTAAACCGATTACTAAGACCAAACCTGTAAAGACAAATATGTTTTTTATTAAACAATAAAAATGTAATTTATAGAAAGAAATAAAATAATAATTTATAAATAAATTTGTGATATATGTAAAAATAATATATAAGTATAATTAATACTTAATAATAATAATATATTACTCGCTCAAAGTGTTCGAAAATTATGATGTTCGAACAGTATGATGTTCGAGTTTTTTAATGTTCGGATATTACGATGTGTGAGCTTTACAATTTTCGAGCATTACAATGTTCGAGTAAAACTGAATGGTAGATACTAACCTAGATACTTAGGTACCATCGCAGCTTTCGTTACCAATTATAGAAGATTTTAGAAGCTAATTTACTTGCTATTTATTTTTTATATATTACAACTTTCAATAATTCATTATTCTTTAAGAAATTATATAAATATGGATGGTACATTGTTTTTGGTCCAAAATTCATACATTCAATTTTTTATAATGTTTATAAAAAGTGTAAATTCACATAATATACGTGTTCCCAAAGTATTTTTATATAATCTAATGCATTATGTGCCTTTTTTTAATTTAAAAAATTATAAAAAAAAATTTTTTTGTAAGTGGATAGCACCACATTGTGTTACCGTGCAAAATTGTATAATTATAGTTTTGAGTGTTTTGCAAACCAACCCAAGAATTTTTGTCAAAAAACTCTAAAGAATGTGATCGACCAAACATTGAAACAAGGGCAGCTCTATTCCCCATGACGTCGCCTATATGTTCTCCTGTCTTACAACGCACATAAACCTCTGTCTAATTGATCTTTGGACCCACCCCATTGAAGTGGCCAGCTTTCTCTATCTGGACCCAGATTAATGTTCAATTGAATACCACCCATCCATTCCACCCCATCTCATTTCCCCTTCCATCACCTGCTGGCCTCTATTGCGGCCATGAAAGAAAATACACTAAAGGAGCTAAAGAAGCTCCTTAATCTATCTATAAAAAATGTATTGAATATTGGGTCAAATGCATCCCATATTTGTATTACACTGTACGGGATCTACTTTGAATACGATAAAATAAATATTGATTATTAATACTGTGTAGAAAGTATCCGAAATAATTTCATTTTTTTCTTATTTCAGTATAAAATAGCGAAAAATAAACTTAGTCCAAATACCTATACTAGTTTTTAAATATTATGATTGACATATTGATTTACTCAAATTGTTTTGGTAGTTCTCTCATTCTTGAAAAGTACTATTTGGTTTGCCTTCCTTGTAAACTGTTAAACTGCTATGGAAATTGTTAGAGGTACTTAAACATCACTATGTGTTGTGAACACAGCCGCTTATCGAACCAATACTGTACTATAATAATGTTTTACTAGAGTTCGGACTAAACCGCCTCAATTCGTTACTAATAATAACAAATTTAGCTAAAATTTATCTGATATATTTTTACAATTTGAACTGCTTTATTAATAATTCTGTATTCCAGAAGTTATTACAAGCATTTCAACTAAAATAATTATCGTATAAATTTCCTGAGTTATGAACCCAGGAAAATAAAAAATGAGTTCTAAAGTATTTCTCTATAGATTGAACTAGATCAATAGTACTAGTACTAGTAGTAGTAATAGTACTAGATCAATAGTATAATAATTGAAAAATATATCTAACAACCTTATGTTCTTGATAGGGATACAAAATAAGCAATAATCATAAAATAATAAATTATCTTTTAACGTAAATAAATTGAACTTTGTCCTAATAATATTTTTATGTAGATAAATCTACATCTATTAAATATTTTTACATATCTATTCATATTACCATACTTTTACTTAAAAATGCTTTAAATAATCTATAAGATATTTAATAAATTTATTTATAATTTTCACAATGCACATTTGTAACTAAATAAATTGATAGAAAGCAGATTTCAAATAAACAAAACTCATCTTTAATTTCGTTGCATCATTCAATACAATAATTACAGCTGAATCACCACAAATCACAGATACTACATTGCAGTCGACAGCAACTGCATGGGAAGATACTGGTGTTATGAGGAACAAAAGTAAATTAATTATAATATTTATAATGAAATGATTTTTGTGAAACACGTATTTCAAGTGAATATTGAGTATTTAGGTATGGACATTCAAAGTTCATATTATTTTTAGTCATGCAGTTTTTTTTGGATTTCATTTATTTTTCATCTGACAACAGAAGAAATTTTAAACACTTTTCGCCTTTGTATCCTCAACCTAACTACAGAGATAAACAATATCTTAAGTTTACCTTGAATATAAATATGAAGTTATATATTGAATTTTATTATTTTATGGAACTTGTTTAAGGCAAAGATTCAATGAAGGTAAAAAATGAGAGATTTCCAAATTTTAATGCGTTCCGCAAATCGCTATAAAGTATTTCTTGAGAACGTTTAAAAGATTTCGATATAATTCCTTGGTCTTAGAAAAAATCAATCATATTAATTCTTATCTAAAGTCTCAACAATTAAAGTAAGGATCGAACTAGTTCTTTAACTGAAACAACAATTCTAGAAGTTGGCCAACAAAAGTAACAAAAGCTGAAAGGTTAACTATTAGTTTATAATCTAATAGTTGTGTTAGAATAATAATAATGTTTTGAAAAATTAAGGTCTGAACTTCCTAACAAAAAAAAACCCTTTAAAAAATAAATAAATAAAATAAATAAATAAAATAAATAAATAAAATAAATAAAATAAATAAATAAAATAAATAAAATAAATAAAATAAATAAAATAAATAAAATAAATAAAATAAATAAAATAAAAAAATAAATAAATAAAATAAATAAAATAAATAAATAAAATAAATAAATAAAATAAATAAATAAAATAAATAAATAAAATAAATAAATAAAATAAATAAATAAATATCTATATCATGGATAATAGTGATATGATAATTTATATCATATTAAACTCCGCATTGCATAGTGTAACATCATTTATCGTATAATACATCATATAATATCTGAACAGTTACAGTATAAATACAGTATAACTTTCATAATTCGAATTGGTAAAGTTCGAAGTTTCTCCACTTCATCATAATTGTTTGCTCCCTTCCCTAATGGAGACATTAGTTTCCACAATTTCAGTTATAAATCTCTTATAATTTTTGATTAATTATTTTATTGAAAGATACCAACTATAAAAGTATTAAAATTTCTTGTTTTAGCTTCTGAGACTATAATAATTCAAATACTTTAATAAAGTGAAAAAGTGGAGGTCTGGACGCATATCGAAAATCTCAAAACCTTGGCTTGAAATGATAACATAAAAGAGACCCTCCTCGAAGTAATAAGTCTCGCCGAAGAGAGAATGTTTTAGTCCGTATACTACATATAAATGTTAGGAAGTCGGGCACACCATTCCGACGACATTCGATTTGACGGTGCATAAAGCATTCCACCTCCTCACCACAAAACAAAAAAAAACTACTTTAATATAAACTATTTGAAAGAAGACCTAATAAAAAATGTTTCCTATGAATAATGTGTATGTAGATTTATTGACAATTAAGCCCAATTTATATATAATAAAAACATAAATTTTTATTTGTCCTTGTACAATTAAATTGGAACCAAGCATTTTGTAATAAATTAATTAACACAAAATTTAAAAGATAAATTAAAAAAAAGTAAGAGATTTGTTTTTAATTTTTGATGAACTTTGTTTTCTTATTATAAAAATATACATATATTCAATATATGATAATTGTACTGATAGTACGATTACATACTTTGAAATCTTTGAGAGCCAAATATTAATCGCAGTTATATAGTTTGACTCTAGATGGTTTTAAACCCTGAGTTATTCGTATATATACGGTAACACAATGGGCCAATAGGCTTAAGTGGATCCTCTAGGGAGCACCTAGGGTATAACCTAACCTAACCTTAATAATATGACAAATCGCGTATGCAATTAAGAAGAATTTTTATGAGATGAATCCTAAATAAAGATTTTATAAAATTTTAGAACTATTAGATATGAAAAATATAGTTTTGAAAAACAATTTTTAAAAGTGAATTAATAAGTATAAAGTATAATATTAAATTTACTGAACAAATTAAATGTTTTAAAATATTTTTAAGGCAAGGAAGAAGACCATAAAAGTAGTATAATGTAGAATAATTTCAAAAAGATGTAATATCTGTCCGTTTATACATTAATTTGTTTCATCACAAATTCTTCTCACATTTTTAAAATAATTAAATGAAATCTTCTAGATTTTCTAGTAAGAATCTTTAGAAATTTTAAAAATGACCATAGCTAATTGACAATATTCCATAGCTGCAATTAAACAAAACGCATTTTCAAGTATTAGTTATTTAAAAAGGTACTATATAAATATTTGATATATAATAGTAGTGCAAAGTACTCTAGATTCACAATTCTAGTAAAGTTCGATTTACTTAAATACGAACATTTGAAACGGACACGTCAAATGTTCAAAAATCCTCGAAATGCTCCAAGATATTCAGACTACTCGAATAGCTTTGTTTTATACAAATATATATAAGAGCTAATACTGGAGCATAATATACTGTTCGAACATTCGAGCATAAACTTAATCAAACATCAAAATGTTCGAAGCCTCGAAAGGCTCAAATAATATTAGAAACACTAATATATAATTATAGTATCTAATACTATTATAGAATTTTATTTAGATAAGATCAGATTTATAGCCAACCTACAATTAAACAACAGGCGATGGCTACAGTAACTAGCGACTTTGACCAATTATACTGACTACAGTAACTCAATCATACTCAGCAATACTGGATTGCAAATGCTCAATTATACTTTTAACATCACTTTTTTTAACATTTTTAATCACTGTTATCAGCGATTGTTACTCAATTGTAAGATCGGTATTAGATGTAGATAACATAAAAACGAAATGTTCAGGTATATATTTTTATTGGAAAAGTTCTATTATTTTTCAAATTAGTTTCATCAAATTAGAACTTAAAGATTGCAACCTTTTAAACATACCATCATTAATCATATATGATAAATCGATAGAAATCTAGTGGTTCATATACAAATGATAAACTCTAGTACCTATCAATGCATTACCACAAACTTTGATATTTAAACAATATTATGTATTATTACTGTACAGGCAAATGTTTTATATATATGTTTTTATAAGAAAATAGTTTTTATTATACTTAATACGAGAATATATAGTTCCCCAATTCCGACGTTTATCTAATTATTTTATAAACATACTTTTGACTAAAAAGTATAAAAAAGAATATCAATCTATTAATAGTATAAATCAATTTGAACGGTAGTTCCCTTCTCTGCTCACTCATATGTACTCAGGACCCAAATGATATACCATTTAAACTAAGTGGATAACGAACTACTCAGTAGAAACACTGATTACTGCTAGGCCGTGTGCGAGTTCGAGTAAATTGATTGATGGTGAATTGAAGGAAATAGTAAATTATGTCGGTATGGCAGCGAATATTGGTATTTACCAGAATTTCGAATAAGGTAAATTAGATAAAAATAAGATAAATTAGGTGTTACCATTGTGAAAATTTTATAGATGTTTAATAAATAAATTTGAAAACTTTTAATCAAAAATAATAAATAAGTGCAATAAATAAATAAATAAATATTTACATAAGAGCTGTGCAAAAAATCCCTAGGAAATTTCAATTTACTTTACCTCAATTGACTCGAACTCGTACACGGCCATAATGTGTTAATATAAATGATACGGCAGGGGATTAATTATTTAAAGACCTTTTAATAAGAAATCTAGCTAATCATTGAATACTGCTTCTATACTTCTAATCATTGAATACTATAATTTGCGTATTACATATTCAACTCTTTATTGTAAATATATAGATAAGAATTTTAATTTTACTAAAAAATTTTCTTATTTTTAGTTTTAATCTTATGTTTATTTAATGCAAGAGAATGTGTCACTTTTATTATTAAAACTGCTAAAATGACGACATGTGATAAGCTCTTCAAGCTTTCAAAATGCTACATTGGAAAGATTTTGTTTGTAAAAACATTTCAATTTTGTAAATATTTGCTCTGATCATTTGTTTAGCATTTATTAAGTATCTAAATGAGTATATATTCAAATATGAATAGAACGAACGCACAAACGAATAGGTTAAATGGACGATTGCAAGAAAAGGGGTTCAACGACGTTCGTTCACATGAACGTAAATTCAAATCTTGTCAAATATTTTTTTATTATTTTGATAAATTTAATTTTAGAATTTAATTCGCTAAATATTCCAAGAAATTACTCAGAATTGAACTTAATCTACCATAATTTCAAACAAGTAAAATTTTGATAAACAATTGCCAACTACACTATATGTATCTTTGTACATTTAAGAAATATTTTATAGGCGTGAATCGTCAAGCCCATAAATTTAAACTGACAAACTTTAGATAAGGATGTCAAATCGAGGGAACATTTCAAGTATTAAAAGTTACATTATATAACCTTATTTTAATAATCATCTACAACGAATCTTTTCACCGATTTTAAATGCCAAATAACGACATATCTAACGCGACTAATAACTCTATAGCAAA